ACATTTTTAGTGTTTTAATGTGCAAAAATATGCATCTCTGACATGAAACGCACATTTTTAGTGTTTAATGTGCAAAAATATGCATCTCTGACATGGAACGCACATTTTTAGTGTTTTAATGAATAGAAATATGCCTTTAACAATACAAAAACATAGTTTTTGGTGTTTTAATGAGCAAAAACATGCCTTTCTCACCTGAAGCTTGTTTCTCGTTTGGTTGGAGTTCTTTTTCTTCTTTTGTAATGCTTTTGTTGGCTTTGTAATAAAACCTGAGTTCCTCTGAAGCTCTTTGGTTCCTCCTGTCCTTTTCCTCTGGATGGGCTCCTCCTGGCCGTCACTGTCCTTCTCTTGAACTTTGCAGAATCATGTCAAAACATCTTCTTTTGACTTCTTGTGAAAGGACAGATATAATCAGAGGTCACATGTGTTTGCACCATATCACAGGCAGGTTCCTCTCGCACAGATAGGAGCTTTTTCACGAGCGAGCGCCTGTCATTTCAAAGGTAAGTGGGACTTTATTCGTCATTATCAATGCATTAAAAGGTAAAACTCAACAGGGGATAATGTCAAATTTTGAATTGGGCTTTTTCCCCCACTGTGAATAACACTTTTATTATTGTTAACAGCAGAAAAATATTGGTATCAGAATATAAATATTAATTTTAGGCTGTATGTGAGTTAATCTACAGCCCCATCTGAACGCTGAAACTCACTTATTTAGAACATTTCTGCTGGTTTGAACAGTTTTTGGTGTTATTTTAAGATTGTTGGGAGCAAATATTTATATATCTGCATTTAGACGCTTTCATCCAAAGAGACTCCCAAAGTTCCACTTATCATCAGTCTGACAATCAGCGTTTTTTTGGGGCTTTAAAGCTGTTTTGGGGCAGTTTAAAGCTGTTTTTGGGGGGCTTTTAAAGCTGAATTTTGGGGCTTTTAAACCTGTTTTTTGGGGGCTTTTAAAACTGTTTTTTGAGGGCTTTTGTGTTTATATTTATGCATTTAGACGCTTTTATCCAAAGCGACTCCCAAAACAGACCCAATGTTCCAATTATCATTAGTCTGACAATCAGCTGGTTTTGAGGTTTTTATAGCTGTTTTGGGGGCGTTTAAAGCTGTTTTTTGGGGGGCTTTTAAACCTGTTTTTGGGGGGCTTTTAAAGCGGTTTTTGGGGGCTTTAAAGCTGTTTTTGTATGCATTTAGAGGCTTTCATCCAAAGTGACTCCCAAAGCAGACCCATTGTTCCAATTATTATCATTATTGTCAGTCTGACAATAAGCTGTTTTTTGGGGCTTTAAAGCTGTTTTGGGGTGGTTTAAAGCTGTTTTGGGGGCTTTTAGAGCTGTTTTTTAGGGCTTTTAAAGCTGTTTTGGGGGCGTTTAAAGCTGTTTTTGGGGGGCTTTTAAGGCTGTTTTTGGGGGGCTTTTAAAGCTGTTTTTAGGGCTTTTACAGATGTTTTTGGGCTTTAAAGGTGTTTTTTCAGGTTTTTAAAGCTGTTTTGGGGGCTTTAAAGCTGATTTGAGGGTTTTTATGTTTGTGGGGGGGTCTGGAGGAGGAGTTAGGATAGGAGCTGCTCTGTGGAGAGGGGGGGGGGGTCTGGAGGAGTTTATGGAGAAAGACAGGTAGCTCTTTCCTCCATCTTGGACCAGCAGCTGAAAAAAGTCTAGATTGTCTAAACAAAAGATCTCGATGCTCCTGTCCTTGCCTTGAGCTTCTCCCTCCTCCGTCTGCAGTGTGAAGAATGGAGGGTTTGTACATCAACGACTCTCTGGAGGAGCTGAGTCACAACTCCAGCAACAGCAGCCTGGGCAGAATCCCCTCCATCGTACCGGTCGTGGAGTGGGTCATCGTCTGCACAGGAATGCCTCTGGTCCTGGTGGCCATAGCTGCCGTTTATCTTCTGGTACGTTGGCTTTTTCTGCAGGAAAACGGAGGCTGTGGAGGTCCAGCTGTGGTCTGGTTCTGAAGGTCTGGATGTGAAGGTCTTTTTGTGAAGGTCTGGATGTGAAGGTCTGGATGTGAAGGTCTGGATGTGAA